AATGTACAACAAAAATTTTTTCTGACATCAAAATGTATTTTATTTTTTTCGACATCCTTTTGCAAATGAATAAATGACTTACAAAGCGACTTTTTATGTTGTTTTTCATTGAATTTGATCGTTTTTTTGTTTTGATTCTTATCGAAGTTTTTTTCCTATAAAGTGTTGTTTATTTGATTATGGGATCCAATTTTAATAGCTTTCTAATTGGATTTGTTTTAATTCGTATAGTTTCTAAAAATGAAATAACAAAAAACACTGAAAACAAATTGCAACAAACAAAATTATTTCTATTGTCATTGAAGACACTGATAATAGAAATAAATACAATAAAAGATATACGGAGGATTTCCGGTCATTGTTTGATGGAACAAAGACTGTAATTTCTCTTCACAATTCTGTGGTTTATAAATAGGAGAGCACACCGAGTACATCCTGAGAATAAACCAACGTACTTAATCATACTTAATTTTATTTTTGTTATTGTTGTTTCGAATTGTGTTATTATAATTATGGGACTTCCTAATTTTATTTAATTTCATTATAATATAATTGTATTATAAAAATACTAATCAAATAATTCAATTCAAAAAATATAGTAAAATTATAATAAAATAACTAAACTCAGGAATAATATTAAATAGAAAAATTCAACATGAAAAAAATTAATTCCATTCAGCAGAATCATCATCATCTTCGTTTGCGTCATAATTCGAAGCCGCTCTCATAGTTTTCAATTTTAACATCAATGCCTCCATCAAATCATTTCCACCGGTTGTTGGTTTTTTTGGTTCCGGTTGACTTACATTTCCACTTGTTCCTTCCTCCAACTGTACCTTTTTCAATTTCTTTCCTCCTCGGATTTGTTCCAACAAACCACCCATCCCTCCTGAACTTAACTTCTCTGCAGCTGCTGGAGGGACGTCTTTTGGAATGGCAGTTGGAGGGGGTGGTGGTGGTGCAACGACTGAAGCTGTTGAAGGTGGAGGAGGAGGCGGTGGAGCAACGACAGTAGATGTGACAGAAGGAGGTGGTGGAGGAATTGCAGTTGTTGTAGTTTCAAATGACGCTTCATCATCTTCTTCATCCAAATTGATATCAGGAAGTTCGACTGAAGGAGCAATAGAAAATAATGGTGAAGTACCTCTGAATGATAATTCAGCTACATTCGAGAGATTTGGAAGGGTATTTGGTAATGTCAATTCAGGCATTTTATCAAGAGTAGGACGATATCCAAAACCTTCTTCTGCAGTCGAAGCATAAAAGTTATTCAAATCATTCAAAGAATCCGTTTGATCATTCTTAGCTGAGTCATTCTTCTTCTCGTCTTTAGTCGAATGGAGTTTCTTAGTATTATCACAATTCGAGTAATCTGCATAAACATTCACTCCACTATTGAATAACAACAAACTTCCTACCGATTTAACTTTGTTTGGTAC